TCGACTCACCGCCGCTGAGGGAATCAGTGAGGGAGTCAGAAGGCATGTCTTGGTTGGTGACCCGGAGGCTGAATTCGAAAGATTCATGGCAACTATGAGGGAGGCAGGAGAGGCGGAAAACCGGCAGGAGGAGACCATGGGCCAGAGACATCGCATGAGGAGGACCAGAAGGACCCTAGACGAAGCGGTGTTTCCTCCTCTACCTCCCGGGCCTCGAGGCGAAGAAGGCGAACACGCAGGGGGTTTGCTGGACTTCGTGAAGAGGAGGAACAAAGGGGGAGAGCAAATGAAGAAAGAGACAAAAGTGACGAGGGCAGTTGAACCGAGACAACAACCCCTGGGAGTACCACATCGGCACGAGGGGAAACCGTGGATGAGGACATCGAGAAAGAGGAGGCAAGACCTGCCAGAGGCCCCCAGAGAACCGCGAGAAGGCGACCAGGGGCCCAAATGGAGGAAAGCGCTACAAACAGCGCGTCTCTTTCGGGCGAACAAGAATCGCAAGACTCACACCGTGGAGAAACTGAAGAAGGGCTACTACGCGAACTCATCGAGAAGGGCAAAGATGTCGGTGAGGAGGACGATAGAGAACATCCTACGAAGCCTGGGAGTGCGAGGGAAGGATTCGTGTTGGTCCTTGGAGACGCTGGAACAGGTCGGCGCAGTGCTGAAGGAATCAAACTACAAAGCAGGAGTGACCTACCTGTCGGAGTACAAGCAGCTGTTGATCGAGAGTGGAACGATTTGGTCGCATCAACTACAGAAGGCATATGGACAAGTAGCCAGGGCATTGAAAAGAGCGAAAGGCCCTACGAAGAAAGCGGCGGAAGTGGGCGAGCTCACCTGGATGGTGGCCATGAAGAAGGAGATCAACGAGGAGGCGAAGGGTGTGGTACACAACCCTGCGCTGCTATTCGCCTTCGCCACGATGTGGATGTTGAGGGAAGTGGAATTGGCGGCAATTCACAAGGGGGACATCTTGGTCGACGCGAAGGAAAGGATAGTGGCTTTGACTTTGAGGGTGGCAAAGAAGGACCAGGAGTGCTTGGGGTCGAAGAGGACATTACAATGCTGCTGCAGTGGAGAGTGCGATTGGTCCGAACCATGCCCGTATAGGATTACATGTGCTGCTCTAGATGCGGTGCCAATCGAAGAGGAGAAGCTGGTGCATGGGGACCTTGAAGAACCAGTTTCAAAGTCGCAAATCATCGCGGCTTGGAGGAGTCTGTTCGGACAACAAGTGTCGGGTCATTCAGGCAGGCGCTCGGGGGCACTCCAATACATCCGAAGAGGGTGGCAAGTACCTCAGGTGGGTTATCTGGGACGGTGGAAATCCAACGTCATCCTACAATATGCGGAGGAGGCGCTGGAGACGATGCCGGTGATGACCAACCCGCACAAGAAGCTGAAGGGTCGCGGCGAAGATGAACCCAAGAAGAAAGACATAGAGATGACCACGACAGAACCCAAAGAATGGACAAAGATTAGAGAGACGGAACACAAGCTGAGGAAGGAGATCACCCACCTGAAGGTCGCGCAGGAGAAGCTGGAGGAGTCGATGGAAAGGTGGGAGACGATCTCGAAACGACACCATGGCCTGCTACCACCGGTGGTGATCTCCAAGATGGGAGTGATACACGCCAACAAGAAACAACCGGTGGCCTCGCCGGTGCTTTCGTGGCACACGAAGTGTGGGTGGTTCTTCGGCTGCTCCATCTTCAGTTTTGCCATGGATGACTCGAAGGTCACGTGTTTGAAATGCTCCACCCTCGCGCAGAGCACAGAGGAGGCAACAAGCAAGGGTGGAGCTTAAATGGAAGGCTCGATACTTTCTACCAGCGATTTGGAAAAGGGAGTATTCTTCAATTGGGTGGTAGAGTGCTGAGCTTGTCTTGAAAGAAAATGGAACATTTTCTGCAGGACAATAGACGATGCACTAGGGCGGGGGAAGGTGGATTGGCCAATCCATTTTGGCTCAAGCCAACCTTCCAATTTTCTTTCCCCACCCACCCACTCCAGAATAGATGGAGGAGGCAACAAGCAAGGGTGGAGCTTAAATGGAAGGCTCGATACTTTCTACCAGCGATTTGGAAAAGGGAGTATTCTTCAATTGGGTGGTAGAGTGCTGAGCTTGTCCCACCCAAAACACGACCAGTTTAGGCATGCTGTTGGGATGGTTGCCGGTTGCCTGGGTTCAAAGGGGCCAGTGTGTGCAGTGTGGATGAGAATCGTTGCTTGAGGCTGAAGAGGGGGGGAACCCACAAAATCTGGCTCACCCCTTGGATGCTTGATGCTACACACACACATATTGTCAGTCGAAGCCTGGATAGGCTCAAGGTGTGGTGGAAAAGATAGTGTGGCGTCGCCCACTTTTAATGGTAGCGGAGCCCTGATAGGGGGCTGGTAGGTAGGTTTTGTCCCAGGCTGGGGCCTGGTTCCACCGGCGCTTAGGGCCATGGAGCGAGTGGGAGAAGAGGCGGAGGTGCCAACCCTTCATCCTGCGGCGAGCGGTGACCTTCGACGGGGGCACCCGGCCTACATCATCGACTACGAGTTCGGGATCCTCACCACGCGAAGATCCCGCATGGGCGGCGGCTGGAGCAGATGAGCCGAGCTCAGGACAAGAAGGGGAGCACCAGCGAAGGGATGTGAGCCAGGTCAGTGGTTGGTGGTGGCGGCGTCTGATGCCAGCTTCGGAGGAATGCCTCAAGGTTGTAGCCAAGGAGGAGCAGCGTGTTTGGTGACACACCCTGGCTTGTTGGAAGGGAAGGCGGGGGCAGTGCCGATCACCTTCCATTCGGCACTGCTGAAGAGAGTGGCGCGGTCAAGCCTGGCTGCCGAGATCGGTCAGGCAGCAGAAGCTGACCAAGCCGACTTCCTGAGGGCGGTCAGGGCGGAGGCGCTCTACGTCGGCTTTGACATCGACCAGTGGCTCTTAGCATGTTGCTCTCTGGAAGTTGGTCACTGTCCTCGACAGTCGCACAGGGTATGACCTGCTGAATGGAGCTGGGCATGAGGGGGCGATAGACATCGCCGCAATGAAGCAGGCCCTGCTCGAGGATGGGGCGAGCCGCCTGGTGCGACGGGTGCCTGGCAATGACCGCATTGCGGACGACTTGGCCGAGCTGACGGGCAACGGCAAGTTGATGCTGTCGATCTCGGACATTGAATGGTCCTTGAGAGACACTAAAGCGAAAGCGCTTCGCGAGGACGCTGCGGAGCGGAAACGCAAGTACAGGCAGCGGATCGCGGAACGCCGTGTGGAGGCCGAGCAATTGCGCCAAAGGGGGTAGGGTCGGTCGAAGCCTCGATAGGCTCAAGGCGTGGTGGAAAAGATTGGGTGGCGTCGCCCACTTCTAGTATTCTACATATAGTATCATATAATAAGCCCGTCCTTGTGCGCACGCATATAAATATTATGCACACGTAGTATTGTTCAGAGACCTTTCAAGCCTTTGAGGCTCGGCGTTTGGAAACCCCCTGCTAAGAAGGTTTGCTTTGCGACGTGATGGTTTGAAGCTTGGTATGGCCCGTGATTGGCGTGTGCACCAGGCCAGATGTGTAGCCAGCAAGATCACATGTATCTCTTTAAGTTTGTCCGGCCTTGAGCTGCGAATCGCTCGCAGCGATGGTTTACGACTTGGTGATCGAAGCTTCTTTTGGTGTGGCCAGCCTCGTAGCCACAGCAACATGCGCAACATCAACATCACTGGCAACTGCCGCAGCTGCCACGGCTGCCACAGCCACGGCAACTGCTGCCACAGCCGCAACAGCTATGGCAGTGACTTCTCCAGTGTGGCTTATGTGCGATGGCCGGGGCAGCCACCACAGCTGCTGGTGGCTAAAATGGTGGTGGACTTTACTCACGAACAGACGAATGGATTGCAGCTGGGGAGTCGGTGCTTTTGGGGAGGTGGTGGATTTGAAAAAGATTTCCCATGCTGTGCTGCAGCACCGGCAGCTGGGGAGAGCTGCTTTGTGGTGCAGCTTTGGAGATGTGGTGTCGAATCGTGAAACTGTTTTGGTCATGGAGCTGCTTGACGACCTGATGCAAACCTACACCAGCCGCAACCTGTGGCACAATGAAGATATGGTCCGGCTGGATGTTGCATACGTAGTTGATGATGCCCTGCAGCACATCCACCAGCAGAAGGTTTTCCACAGAGATGTGAAGCCAGGAAACCTTTTGATGGATGCACTCGGCAGGTGCAGGATATGCGATTTAAGCTCCTGGTACTGTGACTCTGTAGGGTCGGACTTGCGTTGGCCAGTTACACATTCAGCGAAGCTCGGCAGCATTTGATTTTGTAAGCTCTTGGCTTGCCTTGTGTAAGGCCAGTGTAAGCGGGCTGAGTGTGGCAGGCCAGGTTTCAGGGCGCGTCGATTGTCTGATGATGTGGGCAATGGATGCTACTGGATGCCAATGGTATACATGCCATGCGTGTTCCTGTGACTTGTCATACCTGTCATGCCTGCAGTACATGCGACGTATGCCATGCCTTGACCTACGTTGACCGACTGTTGACCGGCAGACCTGGCGTGAGGCAAGCCCTGCGGTGAGAGTGGCAAAGCTGGGGCAGTTTCAAGCCGTTCGACATATGCTTCTAGTTGCCAGCCCTTCGCTTCGGTTCAAACCAAAGCCAAGTTCCTGTGGCGCGTGCTGAAGAAATGACCGGCGTTGAGAGATTTGAGAATATGCGTTGAATCACCGCGAGCATCGTCCTTTTCTTCAGCATTTTTTCTACTCACTCGTGTTTCTTCATGTTTCTTCAGCCGATTATTTTCAAACATTCTTTCTGGTACTTCATCTGAAATTTTCGTTGGCATTCTTTTTGTCATTGTTTCTGACGCCAGTTTGCTAAAATCTCAGGGGCTTGTTCCTTGTGCTGTCTAGACACAGATGCACCCAGTCCCCCAAGCATCCCAGTGTTTCATTCGACATGGTCCCATTCTCAAGCAATCCAAATTTGGTCGGATGCAGCTAAAATCCGACCTGCCAGGATGTGGTGACACTTCGCGGTACGCTTCCTGACTGTGCGGCTGCCCCCTGCACCTCCAACATCCCTTGGCAGGCCTCGACCAACTGGGCATGCGTCGACCGGTGGAAAGGACAGGAAATCAATGACTCCAGCAATAAAAGGTGCTATCAACCTTTTGGTTGGCTTGTGTTGTGGCTAAGTTATTTCAGCATGGTGGCAGTGCTTTTCGTTGCTTCACCTTGTTCCCCAATAGCCATGCTATGGGGTCTTGCAAAACTAATAAGCGGACGGGCGCCGTCGGGTCACCGTCAGAGCTGGTGGGCGGATGGTGTCTCGGTCATGTTTTGATGGCGTCCGGGTCATGTGATGCTGGTGTCCCGGTCATGTTTTGATGGTGTCCCGATCATGTTTTGATTGTGACCCAGTCATGTTGTGATGGTGTCCCGGTCCTGTTTTGATGGTGTCCCGGTCATGTTTTGATGGTGTCCCGGTCATGTTTTGATGGTGTCCGGTCACCTTGTGATGGCGTCCTGGATATGTTGTGATGGTGTCTCGGTCATGTTGTGATGGTGTCCCGGTCATGTTTTGATGGTGTCCCGG